TGTGGTCATGCCATAATCCCTTCTCCTCCACCCTTCCAGACTGTCAGGATTTGGGGCATACATGCATATGCACCCTCCATATTTTTCAAGCCCTTGGGGACAGGATTCAAACTGCAGTCAGCCCTGTGGGATCCGACTCGCCGGCCTGGTGGGTCCCGCCGCGCGGACCCGCCAGTCCATGGACTGGCCCCTATTTTTGTCTCTCATTGCTGGGTGTTTAGCCCATGGTGGAGGCGGTGTAAGTTGTTAAACATTTTTTTTAAAGAATCATTTGTTCAGTTTTATTTATTATTATTATTATTTTAAATTTGACCAGAGAAGGATAGAGAGGGAGAGAGAGAATGGGAAAGTGAGAAAGCAAGCCTCCAGGTCTGGGACTCGAACCATGGTAGACCATGTGGGAGTCTAGTGGCTCAACCATCACACCACCTGCTGGCCTCATGTCACAGCCTCTTGACCCAAATACAGCACTACTGCTTTCAATGCTAAAATAGTGGGTCGTTGGAAAAGCCATGATACATTTTTGCATAGGAAAACAAATGCATCACGACCTTCCTATGATGCAGGATTCTGAGAGGGTCCCTGTGTCGGGCTCCGTGCAGGCGCCCTACCTGCATCCTCTCAGTGCTATCTTACCAGCAACCCTGCCGTAATCTCATTTATGGAAGATGACACCGAGACCTGGAAGGGCTACAGTTGGCTTGCCTGAACTTATACCATCAGCATTCTCAGGGCCTGGTTTCTTTTTTGTTTTCAGAGAGAGATTTTTGTTATAGGGCACGTGTAGCAGTTGGAAATACAGAGAGACATAAAGTGAGAAATCAGTCCCCAGGGGGTATTGCCACTCTGCAATCCCTTCTCCCCCATTGTCCTCTTTGACAAATTAGACATGTCACCATGTAATCCTGCACCATGTAATCCTGCAAGTGGGTTTGTGGATTGTTTTTGGAAAGATTTCTGCTATAGGGTGTGTGTACTCACTGAGAGACAGAGACACACACACACACCACCAGGGTGGGACGACTACGTTGCAATCCTTTCTCCTCCATTTTTCTCCTGAGATCTTAGGCATGCACACACACGCGCCCAGTGTGAATTTCAAGCTGCCGGGTCCAGGACTTGAACTGCGGTCGCCATGTGGAGTCCAGTGGCTGAACCACTATGCCTCCTGCTGGCCCCGCAGTGCCGGGATTTCAATCTGGGTGTGAGACCTGGCCATGAGCTCACCATCCACACTGGACAGTTTCCCCCATGTCCTCATCAGGCCGCCTTTCTGCGCCCCTGGACTGCCTGTGGTGACAGGGAGGCTGCTGATCCACCCCGGACACGCCCTTGTCTGAAGCTGGCAGCTGCTTCTCCTAGGAGACGGCCCTGACTCTCACAGCCCTGAGTCATCATATTTAGGGCAACACCTCGTTCTGCAGCAAACCCTTTCTCTCCCTTTCTCCTCCCACCCCCTCGAATCATGCAGTTTCTTCACCATTTCCGACACCTGCTGCCCAGGAGCCCTGAAGCTGTGGGACAAAGGGCTCCTTTGTCCGACCCAGGGTGCAAGCCCATCATAACGTCATGGCGTGTGGGATGTACGGAAGTGAAGGGAGGGAGCAGGTGGCTCTGCTCCGTTCTGATCAGGGCTGCCCTGGCTTCCTGGCACCTTGGTCCTGACCTAGGGTGGTCTGCGCCTGTCCCCCTGAGGGCAGGGGCAGAGTAGAAGCTCTTGCCACCCGGTCATGCTGCTAGCCACACCTGCAGGGTCCCTGTGCTGTCCCCAGTTGGGAGGGCTTTCAGGGCTCCGCTTCTCAGGGGCACCCGGGACAGTATTCTTCCTGGTCCACTCTCCACCTTACACCCCACTTTGGTTGGGGCAGAGGGCAGGCCTTGATCCCCACACCTCTAACATTCTGGACCACGCCCTGCCCAGTCTGGGCCTGTCCTGAAGCCCTGTCCAGCTGGAACATGTTCTGGGTTCTCAGCTCCCCTGGCCAGCTCCCCAAGGCCTGGGCACCTTCTGCACCCAGGCCCTGGGCTGCGGTTGCTGCCTGTGGAGGATCTGACAGCCTGGTGAGGCGCTAACTCGGCTTCCGGGCCACCTGCCCCTGCTGCGAAGCCAGGCCGGAAAGGGCTCTTGGGGCTGAGCTGCCTGACCACGCTCCTCGGCTCTCAACTTGCCCTCGCCTGCCCCCCAGTGGCTGAGCACTTGGGCACCACTCGCTTGCTTCCAAGGGCCTGTTCTTTGGTCTCATTCATTCGCAGGAGTGCTCTAGGGTTGTGTCCCCGCGCTGGAACTGCGGGTTCTCTGCTGATTTCTAGAACTAGGGGCTCCGTCTCCCTCAAACCCCAACCCCCACAGAAACTGCTGGAGCCCAGTTCTGACTTGCGAAAGCAGAGAAGAGAATCTGGGATCAAAAGGGCATCCCTTTTTTTTTTTTTTTTTTGGGAGGTTTTGGCTCTAAGGGGCA